TATCCTATTTTTTTTTTTTTTTTTTTTTTTTTTTTTTTTTTTGTTTAAACAATATTTATTGATAATTTACAAAATCATACATATGCTATAGATTAATGTTGGTTTCAGAAACAAGCCGAAGCTTATATAAATCTGTTACCAATACGAATATTTACAGATGATAAAAGTATAATTTACATGATATAGGAGTTGACAGCAGCGAAATGTACATTGGAAACAAAACAGGAAGTGACAAACATATTTACAAAAGGAAAGGGAATAGGGCCGAACAAATTCATTGGTGAATAAAATGTTGATAATGACAAATGAAAATAGTTGAGAGGTTATCCTATTTCCAAATGAACTGTCCTAATCTACCTCATACGATAAGCTCTTGTGTTTATTGATTTCTTGTCGTTGTTATCATAAAACTCCCTAAACTTATTCTACACACTTTAAATAATTTCAGGAAAACACAAGGTGCAACATTTTAATGCTAGTCAGTTGAACCAGACGCATTTTAAGTTAAGCTGGAGTTCTAGGATAACAATGACAACCACGTTTGAAGTTATTTTATTTTGGTGTAATGGTTTTTACTGGACACTGCCAGGATGGACAGAGTGCAAGGTAGGGTATCAATACAATCCAATTGAAATTAGGTTTTAATTTCGTTTTGTTATTATTTTTTTTTTATTTTTGCCTTCATTGTAATGTAACGAGGTCACATACTGTTGACGTTACAAACTATTTATAACAACCAATCGCGCGCCACTTTCCAACCAATCAGAAGATTACAAGAAGCGAGTCTCTTAATAAGTTATATCGCTCGATTTCGCTATATCACAATTCGAGTCGATATTTATACACGACACATAGTGATTGTTTGAAATGAACGTCGAGAGAGTTAACAATTGAAAAATTGAAAATTACATTTATTTAGATTGACACATTTTACTTTTTTTGCAGAATAATATTTCTGAGATAACTATTTCTTCAGTTGAACTGGAACGAACAGAATCGTCCTTCAAACTGATAATACCATCAGGCAAAATACCTTTAGCTATTGATAGCCCTTCTTCACACAAAACGGTAGCATCGAAGCTATCATCAACTGATGACACATTGCCACCAAGCTATCTTCAATTCGGAGTGAGCATTCACTACGACGAAGAGTTTTCACCTATTGTTTGGAATACAACAAAACAATCAGATGGACCTTGTAAGTTTCCATAAATATTGATATATGATAGACTGAAAGAAAATAAGTTTAACTTTCTTGAATTGAAAATATTTATTTTTAATCACCCCAAAATGACTTTATCAGTGTATGGAATATGCAAACAATCACTTAGATGCACTGCTTTTGTTAAAAAGAACTAAATTTTATTTATGAAAGAGATTGAGACAAGCTGATTTTAATTGAATGTTGTAATTTTTGCCTTGATCCAAATATATCCAAATCAGAAATGCAAAACTCAGGTTCTTATAAAAAATAAAAAATGTATGTTGTTATTACTTTCAGCCCAGGAGAATCATCTATTTACTTATATCATAATTGCTATTTTAGCTGTTATTGTTTTGATTATCTCACTCCTTATTTGTGTATGTTTCAGGAAAAAGTAAGTAATCAACCAGCTTAAATAAGAAATGTGTTCATTTTACGACCCCATTATTTATCGCACCTTAATTTACTAAAGCTTTACCAATAAATCCAAGAAATCAAACAGATAAACACCTATAACTTTGCTTTTATTACCACCAAAATATAAAATAATGACCTTGAATACCTTATTAATTCGCACAGCTAGGAAACTGAAATTGGTCGAGTTTTTTAATATGATCAGATTATCATAGAGAGGCAATTATCAGCATCTGCTAAGTGTTGTAACAGTTAGGAAAACTGTTTGAACACGATGTATTTGCAATTTGTGGTATTGTTATATGCATGTTGTATAGATTTTAATAGTTCTTACTGTATATGAAGATGGGACATTTTCAACGCAAGTTGCAGATCCTTCAGAAGTTTATTTTAGCTGATTCCATACTTAAGTAGAATGTATTTGTCATGTCTTCAGTAACCTATTCGTGTGAAGAAAGCGACAAACACGCTACGTAACACAAGACCTATTACAATATTGACATTTTCTTTTCTTTTCTAATAGTTCAAAGAAAGGCCTTTTTAAAAGGTACCAAATATCTGTGCAAGCAAATTTCGATCAGGTAATTACTTTATTCATACTTAAATTAAGAGAATTACATAGGTTTACTTGTATATTTGTAGATTGTTCTGTAAACATAATATTTGATAGAAAAATTGGACTTTAGAATTTGATATAAAACATTTCATTGGTACAGCTATTAACGTTGAAAAACTCTTTTGGAAATTTTTAAAGTGACAACAAAATAAAGTTCACAAAAATAATGCTATTAACAATGAGGTAAAAACAAAAAATCATAGGAGTATGCACAAGTGAAGTGCTCTATTAATTTAATACTGCGGACATATCAATGTATATAAATAAATAATGTTCAACTGTTGGCACTTTCAAATTTTCAAAAAATAAATTATTCATATTTTGTTTACTTGTTTCAGTGTGATTCTGAAAATGGAGCAGAATGTACTGAACTGCCAACCAACCAACCAGATCAAAACGGTAATATACAGAGACATAACAGTGGTGTAGGAACGTTCTCAATATCAACACCGTCTTCATATTCATCTCCGTCATCAACTCAAATAGTCATTCCCGTATCATCAACAGGCACTTCCAAAACATCATCCACTGGAGAGTTTCAAGAAAGGATGTCATGTCCACAAATGTCCTCCTACTCCTCACTGGTTACAACAGAAGGCCCAAAACAGGATGCATTACGAAACGCCTTGGCAACAAAAGACTCTCTAAAAGAAAGACTATTAATAGATACACATACATCCAATTCATCATCAGTATTGATGTTGAAACCTAAATCACAATCAAAAGATAACGGAGTTGCAGATGAGATTCAGTTGATGGAGTATTCTATTGCAACAATTCAGAAAACAAAAGACAACGGAAATGAGAGTGAGAATAGTTCAGCATCCATCAGTTTACCCTGTATCAAATCCAGCAGTAGCATTTCTTCCATAACAAACAAATTACACACAGAGCAACAACTCAAGTCATTAGATAACAGTGATGCACCGGATAATAAATTTGATGAGAACAACTACCCTTCAACATCAATAGTATGCCGTCCAGATTCAGAGGAAATAATGTGTTGACATTCTTATGCTTTTGCTTAAAGTGAAAGACTGAGGGTTGAAAATTTCGTGGTTGTGATTTTCAATTGGGTTCATTCTTAGGTGATAATAAACAATTCCACCGCGTTTCGTCTAAATCACTCGTTAATGAGCTTTGTGATTGAACAATATTGAACATGTTTTATGTCAGTATGGCCTTCTCTAGGAAACCATCTCCTTCTTCATTTTCACTCCCTTTCAACAATAACATATTAGAAGATTCCGAGCATCACAAGCACCTTTTTTGTGGGACTTTGCTTTCAGCAAAGTCCCAGTTTGTTATCGGTATGTCAATTCTTTTTTTTTGCAAAACCGGAAGTGCCACAGTTCAACATGTGCAAAAAGTCGAAAATCGGTTCTAGAAGGCGTATTTTTGCATCGATTTTCTTCGGGTTTTCATTTCTACAATCATTTCTACAAATCTGACCTGTTAGCACTTAAAAAATTTCAAATTTCGAAAATTCGTAGCATACATTTTTTGGCCGATTTTCGAAATTTTTGGACCATTTTTCAGTTTTTTTCGGATTAATCTGAAATTTTGATAAAAGATGCATGTCACTAATGTAAACCATTTGACGTATTCAAAATTTTTGCGTCACTTCCGGTTAAAGTGGAAAATCGATTTTCACTTCCAGTTGAATAACTTCCGGTGTGATTGAAATATTTCAACGAAATTATGTATATCGTTATTAATCTTAATTCTATGGCCGATTTTAAAATAAAATTTAGTCCGAAAAAAATACTTCGGCCGCCATCTTGATTTGATACTTTTTCATAAAACTCAAAATGGGGCTTCGGGGGAGAATGGGATTGGTCAAATTTTTATGTTGGTGTATACTTTAGTCGATGGCGACAAAAATGTGGAAATAGATTTTTGAATTTCACTTT